AGCTTTTACATTTTAACCAATTTTTATAACATAACTTCTTATATTTTTTCTTTTCTTGCACATTATTATTCCACCACCAACTATTTTTATTTGTAAATATTTTTCCCTTTGATTCTCCAAGAACATCTTTTGCTACATGTTTAATAGCGTTTGTTACTTTATCCCACATCACATTTGCTTCTTCATGAATATCCCAAATTTTGAAATCTTGAATTTTACTCATAAAATTAATTTTATTTTTATCTTTTAAGTTTCTCCATCTAATTCTGCAATGATGAGTCCTAGTATTTTTTATTTTACAACTCTTAATCTTAAAATCTAAAACTAATAAACGATGTTGGGTATTTAAATTTTCACTTGGAATGACTTTACAATCTTTACAATCATGACGATCTCTTCTTCTCATAAGAAAATAATCAATTTGTGTTTTATTAGATCCACTCTTATAAGTAATAAGATGTTCATCCCTTTTCTTGAATAAAGTATTAGTAATAACAAAATCAAACGCTAAAGCAAAATCTAAAATAACTTTACCTTCTTCATTAGTTACTCCAAAACCGTAGCCACCATGAATATTTCTGAAATCTTCTACCACTCTACCGACATGTCCATTTAAATCTCCTCCAATAAAAATTCTTTCTTCAAGAGGTATCATTTGTATTAAGTCTTCTAAGTCATTCCAAAATTTATCTTTAGACTCTGTATCTAAACCTACTTGAGGAGCATAAACACTTATAATATTAAAAATCTTAGTATCAATGATAATCTTAAGGGCTATAATTCTATCACCAACTCTATTAATTTTTACAACATTATCTTTCAAACTCTTATCTATAATTACACCTACACCATTTCTAGTGCGACTCTTACCAGAATACCAAAGTTTAAAACCTAAATTATCAATCTCCTTAGCCTTTTCTCCAACCCACTTAGTTTCTTGAATACATAAGATATTAATTTTCCTATGAATCATAATATCAACTAATTCCATTAATTTACCATTGAGAGTGCCTATATTCCAAGATCCTATCCTAATATTAGTTTCATTAGTTTCATGGACTAACTTCTTTACCCGCATTCGCCCGTAATGTGGGAACCCTTGCTTATTTAACACTACACCCGGGCGCCGGTGTAGCGGCCCTTGCACACTTTTCACTGTATTCAGGCTATACAGCGCGTCGCTTCCAGGGGACGCCCTAGCACTTACACAATGATCAAAAGGATTCATGCCATGATTTTTTCGACAAGTTTTACGTTGGCTGTCGACTACCTAACGCAACCCTCCACTTTTCTCATCCGGGCTTGGGACCGACAACGGCAGTGTTATCAAAAGTTAAGTTTTAAGGAAAAAAAAATGAATTCTAAAATTCAAGGTCCATAATCATTGCATTCATTTTGTAGCTTTAATATTTAATAATGCAAATATAAAACATTGGTCACAGATTTGATAGCTAAGGGTTGTAGTTAAGAGGGCTAAACATAAGCATATTATACAAACATCCAAATGTGAAAAACAAGTAAAATCCATCTAATATCTCAAAAGCCTATAGACTAATGACATATGAAATATAAATATTTGAAAATTGAAAAATAGACTATGGATTTAACCCTTAGAATAGGCTTTGTAGATCTATTTAGGGGTATTGGTGAAGAGTCAAAAAACCACCAACTTCTATAATTAAAGAGACAACATAGAGGCTTTGGCGAGTGTGCTTGTAAACAATATAAGAGATGCACATTGGTGAGTTAATAGAGATAAAGTAATCCCAATGGGTAGGTGAGGGAGCAAATTTGAGGTATTAATCCAGTAAGCAAGTTATTGTGGAAGAAGTAGTATCAATCTAGTTTGTCAGAGTTTGATTGCAAGTTAGTGTGGAGAAACAATGCTCAAGTAAGTTTGTATGAAGCAGATTATTGTGTGGAAGCAATTAGGAATTTGGCTAATTAGGGACCAGTAGAAAATTAAGATCAATTTGTGTTGGGTTAATTTTTAATCGCAATGGAATTTAAAATGATTTTGAAATATCGGCATATTTGATTATAAGAAAAATAATTCAAGTAGATAACTACTTAAGCTTTTATAATTATTCAATTTAAGTTGATTCAAATTACAGCATGCGTCAATCCCCTAATTTACAGGCATACAAGGCCCACCACATGTGCTCAGGGTGCTGCCTTGTTTTAAATGGCATGTGCCCTAGAGGCTAAATGTCTCCACTTGGTGCCTTGGGAAAATTTTGTTTCTAGCATGCCTTGAGGTGAGCTCCAAAATATCTTTTTAAACTATTTATGTGATTCTAGTAATTATATTTTATTTCCTTTTTTATGTCAATGCAAAATGAAATTGGTTAGAATTGTGGGATTGATTAGATGTTGATTTGACTGTTGGTTACATTTGAGTTGTTTATTATTTGGACTAAATATTGAACACATAATCAAAATTATTTGATTTTTTTCAAGTTTTTTCTTATTCAAAGGAAAAGCTTCATCTTTCTTTGCTATTGTTAGCTGTTATTGAACATGATCTCATTTTAGTTTTAGAATAAAGAGAGAAGCTATTCAATAATCTTAAAGAAACACATGTACTTTAAGATCTATATTTATTTTATAGCTCATGCTTCTTGTATGAAAGGATCCAACTGACTTTAGATTTTTGGATCATATCTTGTATTGCTCTATAATATGAACTCTCATTGCTATAATATGAAAATTCCGTCCACTTGATTAAATAAATCATCATTTAAAAAGATGCTACCCACTTAATGGAACATTTCTCTGCCATTCATTATTAAGTTGTAGTACTAGTAATAGGATAAGTTAAGGCATGAAAGTCATTTTTTGTACTTAGAAAAGGTTTGTATTCCACGTATGGATTAGAATAAGCTATCAATAGCTTACTTGTGGATGAACTGGTTAAGAAAACAAAGTCATAATCACCTAAAAATAGATTAAGCAAGGTGGTAAATAACAAATTATAGCATATCATATATCAACTCTTACAAAGGTAGACACTAATCCTGTCCTCATGGTTAAAGTAACAATTCAAAGATCAACTTAACCCTAATCCTATTTGCTTTGCATTCACCTTCAACTCTCTCCACACTCCATGCTTGGCCATACTCTGGCAAACTGGATGCTCTCCTCCTGCTCTGCATCGACTGTACTTGCGTTAGCATGCATTAACTATGATGCTCTCCTCCTGCTCTTGTGCATCGACTGTACTTGCGTTAGCATGCATTAACTACCCTCATCCTTTTCACTTGCCATTTTATTTTTGTCCCTTGTGCTCACTTCTCATGCAGGTTTTCATGCTTCTTATGCTTGGCCTATGATTGCAGTCCATTTGCTTGACATGCTCCAACCATGCATTCTTGCTATGTTTGTGAGTGTTTGTTGTTTAGGTTGTTTAGCCTTGATATACAACATTGTTGCATTCGAAATTATTTGCTTCGACTTGCGAGTTGTCCAAGTTTTGGTTTGATGTGAACCTTTGAGTTAATTCGCCGCTTATGCCTTTCCTTTGAGGTGTAATGTACTTTTGTCTTAGCGCTTACAATGATTGAAAGCAAAGAGAAGGTGGAAGCAGTCTAGTTTGAAGCGTAACAGAGAAATAAATATTGCATTACCTTTAGGAATTAGTTATAGAGGACTATTTCATTTGATGGTGCAAATCAGAATTTTCTTGAGTTATGGTGACTGCATAAACAAATAGGCAAACAATTAAAACCTCAAGAGTTTTTTACTACATGAACCCAAGATGCACCATCAAATGAAATCTTTGCTCTCATGGACTCCGGACGCTTTATTGTTCAACATAAAATAGTTTTTAGTCAATTTCTAGTCGCTCATACTAGCTTCTTTCTATTTCCTAGCTATTCGTGATTCATTCAACCTTATAAAGACCATTCCGTTGCCCATCCCTAAACATTATTGAATTTTTATTTTCTTGACTTTGAAAGGAAGGCTTTGCTTTAATTTTTTAGTTTGCTAGAGTATGCAATGTTGCATAAGGCGATATATACTTTCTTTCATTTGTTTTGTTTTCATTCCACCGTTTACATTTTCTTTTTGCCTTTCTTAACTATATTTTGGCTAGAAAAGGTTTAGATTTGACGGGGACACCTTGGATTCCATAGACATGAGCATGCAAACTCACTTACGCATTAGAATACCTTTCTATAGGTGATGCGAAGATTCATAGTTGCATTGACATTTTTTGATTCCTTGTAGAGAGTGCTTTGAAATTTAATAATATATTTATGGATGATATGATCATGAATCATTCGATCAACTGTAGCTCCATGGAAGCCAACTAAGATTGTAAATTTTAAGGCTTTTCTCCTTTGATTATGCTTCTTTTTCTAATTTTTTGCTCTTTTTCTTTTTCCTTTGGGAACTTGTTTAGTACTTTGATCACTCATTTTATTGGTCGAGTATAAATTAATTGTATAATTGAGCGGTTTGCAATTAAATTGGTAGATTAGGTCAACTTGGGTATGCTAAATGTTTTAAGTGATGCGATTTAAACATTTGAAACTTTGAGTGCATTGCGTACATGCTAAAGGTTCTAAAGCCAATTGCAATAAATTCAAAGGTTTTTTTTTATCTTCATGTGGTTTTGCGATGATGTACACTTTAGATTCATATTCATTTGCATGATTTAATATATCTTTAGATGCTCTGTTCATCTACAATGAGCAGTGTTTTCCTTATTTCACTTAAATTGGGACCTTATACATTTGAAATGTTATTTATAATGTAAAGCATGAGTTACTGATTTTGTTTCTCTACTTTTCTAGAAATTCCTTGTATGCCAAGTTATCTAGGTTGATGTTTAATTTGCTCTATTCATGAGTATAAGCTCTTGTGAGAATTCATTAGTAATGAGGATAATTCCTTCTGTTCACTTGCAGAAAATTTGAAAAATGAGAAGCCTTCTTTAGAAAGGAGTCATGCAGAATCTTCAACAGCAAACGAGAGGTTGCTTCTTGTGCTTTCACTAAGTAATTTACTTTGTTTCATTTGCTGTAGATATGTAGTATTTTCAATCTGTTAACCGCTAGTTCATGCTATTAAAGTTAATATTTGCTGTTGCACATTGCTGTTAAGCAATATTGTCAAAACCCGAGATAATTGCCATAATCAAGGGCTTTATTGATCAAAAGCAGCAAACGCAATGTGAACTGCTTAAAGTTAATTCACGTAATTGCTGCATAATATGATAAGTTAAGAGCTTAATTTTATTAACCATGAAATGTAATAAGATTAATTCATAGAACCAAGGATTCATATGATAAAAAGGTTAGTGACTGAGAAAAGGAGGAGCAATATTTATGCAGTGGAATAGTAATCTGATAGATTTATAAATGGAGATTAACAAATCCTTAAAAAGACTGGATTGACTTCTTCACCAACCAATTTTAAGAACAAATCCACCAATCCAAGTCTTAGGGCCCGTTTGGGGCAGCTTTTAAGTGCGGTGGTGTTGTTGAAAACGCCGCTTAATCATTTGGTTTGCACGTTTTTTAAAACGCTATCTGCCGTATTTGAATTTTCTACACTAAACGCGGTTGCGACTAGACCCCTGCGGTCAACCCGCGGCCAGTATTTCAAGATAAGATGCTTATCGTTAAACGCACAAGCTGCCCCAAACAGACCCTTAATGAAGAAAAAAATTCTCAATTTTCTTTTATATATATGTATACATATTGAAGCTCTTGAACTAAAAAAAAGTATGTTTATATTTGTACCTGAATAATAGCAATTCAATCTGTGAAAAAGTTGCAGTTGCGTTGGAAGTTTGCATAGTTATTTACCGGACACAGATCATCTGATAGGGAACTTTTATGTGTTTGACTTATCTTGGTTTGAACTTTTACTTCATAATTAATTTTGTTTTTGAGACACTCTAACGGGAGTGATTTTTTAATGTTATTAACATTTTTAAGAAATATACTTCAAAGATGTTTCCATTTTACATAGCTAAAGCCTTGCACAGAGACTCTGCTTCAACTTCAATTAACATTGGCAGCATGCAATTCTCTTCAGTTTTAAGAACACTTTCTTTGCAGTGTGTTAAGTGGGATTTTTTTTTAATCATGGACTTTCTTCATGGTTGGCAGAGCTAATAATGGTGAAGCTAAAGAAGGAAACTCTGCCGTTAGCCTACAATCAAATTTCGATGCTGGAGATGAAGCCGCTACTTATGTCAATTCTGTTGATGATACGAAACCTATTACAACATCTTTATCAAGTGCTGGACACATCTTAGAAGGAAATCAAGTAGAAGTGGTGTTGCAACCGCTCAGACTTGCATTTGAAACTAAGAACATAAAGCTGATGGAGCCTGCATTAGATTGCTTGCATGTAAGATGCTCTTCTTAAATGGCAGTGCAAGTTCAGCTCATATTCTTTTAGTTTTTAGCCAAAATTATTTTTAGTTTACTTGTTAAACCGTTGAAATCAATATTATAAATTTTTTTTGTTATGACCGGACCTTTTAAGATCATGTTGGTTGTTTTTCTATGATTGTACTGATTATTATTTTTCAACTTGCCAGGTTTAGTATGAGGTTGTTCCGTTTGATTTTCTTCTGCCTATTGGTTTCATTTTTGAACAAAATTGAACTGCAACCATGCATCACCAGCAGAACAAATAAAAAAACAGGAAAATCTCATTTTACTAACTATTGCTGAATTAAACCCAACCGTGCTGAATGTGGACTGTTCCAAACTAGTTATTATGTTCATCTTTCTTGATTTACCCAATATTCTTTACCTCACCTGTTGAACTGTACCTTTTGGCTTTGAAGCTTACATTTTATTGCTGGGAAACTTTGTTCAAACAAGTTATTGCATTTATTATGTTATGTTTGATGCCACAAGTGTATGGAAGAAATTGATATATTATGAAATATAGATGAGAATACCATTGCATTTGATGATGTCTTACAATATAGAAGCAAAAATATTATTCCTTTTTACAACAGGATAACATTTTGAAGAAAAAATTCCAGGCATTTTCTTCATATTGAACTGCATGTTATTATTTTTTTATGGTTATCTGTTTGTATAGCATATTGATTTATTTTTCTTTTAGTTGGTTCAAAATTATTATCATGTAATTTATCCTTATTTTGTTGAAAATTATTATTTGATGTGAAGTTAATTAAATGACTATTAATTTCTCATAAATTTATATATGATATACTAGTCATGAACACTCTTGTAAATAAAAATGATGTTTTACTTTGCATTTTGTGTAAAAAAACGAATTTTTATGCATCACATTGTACTTAGTATTTTTAGAACATTGTTAATAACTGATGAAGCAAATGCAATCAATTTTTTGATATCAAAGACAAATATGTTTACCAAAATTCAATTGTAGAATTAATGCTCAGTTGATAAGAGTTTTGAGATATGCTGTAAATCAGTTTTTTTATTGCAGTGGCTATAGTGAGTTGGAATGTGGAAAGGGAAGTTTTAGCTATTTTTCTGGCTAGGTACAACAAAGCGTCCTTTTTTCCTTGATCGTTTAGTCAATCAAACTCTCTGTATTGGTGGAGCTGTACGTTAGGCAGACCTTGATAGCAGGCAGGACATTGGTTGGATACAGAAACTTACTTTTAGTGCAACTTTCCCAGGCTAGGACCAAGTGATTGATAGATTTGTATAGATAGATTTGTATAAAAAATAAAATAAAATAAAATAAATCCAATGAAATGACAAGGAATCATACATATAAAGTGGTCCATTGAACTTCTTAGTTCCATAGGCACCACATCAACAAAGTTCTAGCAAAAGTGTTCTCTATTGCTGTGGACAATGAAAGGGTACTTTAGGGTGGTTGTCCTGGTATAATTATACAAAAAATGTTGGACTCCAGTGACCCTGGGTAACTACTGGATGATCTGAGGGGATGCAAGCAGTCATGTGGTGTGGTTGGCAGGAAACTGTGGCAGGAATCAACGCCTGGACAGTTCTTCAAATGAAACTATTAATTGTAGTTTTCCCTCCCGCTCTTCTAGTGTGTTTTTTGTTACTGTAATTAGAACTGCCGATATTTGGTATCAAATGAGGAATAATTTATGCAAAGTTAGGGTCATTATTTCCTATTTGATCTAAATACTGAAGCAATCAGAAATTATAATATTTGAAGACTTGGCTTGAATCAAAATATTTTTTTTCTTCTTTTCATATAAATCCCAGGTTTAGTAGGTATCATCTATTTATGCTCAATGCTGGCTGGAGATCTTTTTTAAATCCCTATGCGTTCCATTTTTGTTTTCAAATATCTTTTGTTTGGGTATTTTCGTTGGTCTTACCAGTATGAATCAGTTTTCATTTGCCTTCAAGCTTTGTCGGTGTCATTTCTCATTCTAATTTTGCAATATCAGAAACTCATTGCCTATGATCATCTGGAAGGTGATCCTGGTCTGGAAGGTGGTAAAAGCGATCCACTATTTACCAATATTCTTAACATGGTCTGTGGTTGTGTTGATAATTCGTCACCAGATAGGTTTGTATGCATCTCTGCTATGATTATTCATTTGATTGTTGATTCTGATTTATGACTTATTGGGGAGACGTGGAATTCACAGTACCATACTGCAAGTACTGAAAGTGCTTCTTACTGCTGTGGCATCAACAAGGTTCAGAGGTTTGTTTCTATTTTTGTCCCTTTAATTTTCTTAAATTGGCTCTTATTCATGTATCCGTCCTATTTTATTCTTTTTCAATATTTTTAAGGGAAGACTTCATTCATGTTTATTACTCCTGCATGAACACCGGCAGAATCTACTCATTAATTTCTATTAGCATCTGTTAGTGCAAATCCATATGTAGATATAGTTAATATTGAGACATTAATGAGAAAGCGTTTATGCTAAAGAGCATATTGAAGCTGCCAAAAATGTATATTGTTAGCTATGGATTTTGTGGAGTGATACATTGTTCAGCATTAAGTTCTCATTATTGATATCTTGTGTGGTTATAATTGCTTAATACAAAGAGAGATGGTTTTGAAATAATGAAATATAAATAGATCAAGTGCAATTCAAAACAAGGAATATAATCTTTATGAGGTAGGAAGGGACGCATGTAGTAAGATTAAAAAGGTTAAATGTCATATATGGCTTCGAGGCTGGAATGCTAAGCTGGAATTGACGGTCAGATGGAGTTCCTAAATACACTTCTAACATTAAAAAATATCAAAACAATTTTTTAAAATTTTCAACATTGTAATATACAGAATCACAGTATTCATTTTATTTAAAAAATAACAATAGATCTATTAAAGTCAGTTCAACATCTAGAAGATGTAAATACCTATTACTTGAAGTCTCACATTTGCGGTGTACGGACTCTCTTCTCACTCATTCAGATCTTGGATTTTTTTTTCTTACATTATTTTATAAAATAACAGTTGTTAGTGAAGCAAGCTTAGCTAGTGCTTTACAATTTTAAATCATAGTAACTTGAAAAAAAAAAGAAATGGCATGCATGTTGTTTGTCATAATTAAATTATAAGAAAATCATCAAGTGTGCTTATCATTTGCATATGACCATAAACATTACATTTGTTCAAACTATTAAGAGTTTAAACATATAATACTCATAGTGCTTGATTTGTACTTAAATACATGTTTTATACATTTATCTTTGGAGCACTGGTTATCTGTCAACCTAACCCATATCTGGTAAATACATCCCTCACAGGCATAGCAGAACATAGATCAAGTTCACTATATTTTTCTCACGACCTGACTTAAGAGTTTGGAATACTAAAGTATGAACAAAAGTTGGATAAAGTACTTTAATATATCTACTAACATTAAATAGTATCAAAGTTATTGTTCATTAAAATTTCTTTCAATAACAGTTGTCAACTTCAAAAGAGCTACAAAATTGCAAGATTTATTCTAACCTAAAATAATAATAGATCTACTAAAGTTATTTCAATATCTAGGAAATTTAAATAATTATTACTTGAAGCTCTGCTTTTTACCATTTATGAATTCCATTCCTTCATTAGCTTTTAGTATTCTTTCTTATATTTATTTGTATGTATTTATTAAGTGAAACAAAATTGATTTATTATTTTTCTTAATCACTTTAACATGAAAGGAGAAACAAAATCCATGTTAGTTGTCATAATTAAATTGCAAGAAAATCATCAAATGCGCTTATCATTTACATATAACCCTAATCATTGCATAATAACTAGCGTGATTTATAGTTATGGAGTCTTATCAATCATTTAATTATTGAGAGTTTGAGCATGTTGTTGTTAAAATTCAGAAATAATGTGAAATACTGTGGAATGCTTGATATTCATTTCATTGATATGAACGGGGGTATAAATAACTCTTAAAAGAATACTATAATAGGAAAAAATAATAAAAAAAAATGATATGAAAGGAAAGATATATCACCTGATATCTCCAATAATTAATTCATATTAATTCTTAGGAGATACTAGGAAATAACATAAATTAGTAAATGAGATAAATATAAAATAGGAAAGTAAATATCTCATTAATCTAAGGAAATAATTTATTCTAATAACTTATTATAGGAATAAATTATTTCCTATTATAAGTCTTAACAGGAAAGACGAAAAATCCTGTAATTTAAATTAGATATTTCAACACTCGCCCTCAACTTAAAACATAGTTGAAAACCACATTCAACTTAAATTTGAAAACATCAACTGATGTGCGAGGAATATCTTGTGAAGTAGAACTTGAAATCTTCATCCTGTACTGTTGTTGTCTTAAAAACATCAACTGATGTGCGAGGAATATCTTGTGAAGTAGAACTTGAAATCTTCATCCTGTACTGTTGTTGTCTTTGACTTTAGTTACTACAGTGTCTATAGGTAGACTGAAAACTCCACTCTTGGCGATAGCGGTGGCAACAAGCTTCTAGACGGATCTGAAAAGGTAGGAGTGCGATGCATATGGTTCCTCCACATCATCACCTGCGGTATGCTGACTGGAGGAGTCTTTGATCGCAATCTGGCCTGCAAGGCATTAGCTGCATTGGTAGGCGGAGATGGAGTTGAAGACACTGAGAACGGAGGCGAGAGCCGACATGATGGAAAAATTGCTGTTACCCTTCTTATGACCAGATTAGGAACTCCTGCTGCTGAGATACCAATGTAAGCTTTTCGAGTGATTCCTTCTAAGTTCTTCGGGTGAACATGTTTTTCCATTGATAATTGCTGGATTAAGTTCACCATCCCCCCTCAAATTGATGCTGTCAATTTGCCGACAAGAAATTTTGTCGGTTCCAATAATTCTCAACCCATAAGTGCCGAATCCGAAAGTCCCGAAATCGAGAATGCCGAAGCCTCAGAGACACCTCCTGAACCATAACATGATTTGAGCAAAGAAAAGCAAGAAATCATTTATTGTCGTCAGAAATTTGAATCATAGCCACAAGAATGTTCGCTTCCAGTTAACGATCCAAATGCTACTGATCATAGATCATAAATAGGATCCAGTTACACGATTCAGATGCTTTCGATCATAGCATACAAATATGATCCGTGTCCTGCTCCAAATGCTACCGATCATAACCCACAAATAGGATCCAATTACACGATCTAGATGCTATTAATTCTTTCTACGACGACGAGGACGATCTAGGAAGGAGTTGAAGACTCGCAAGAAGTTGTCGGAGGAAGACTTGATGGAAGCAGTTGAAGGCAGAAGGTGACACGACAATTGAGGCGCCAGCCTCAAAGATATCTCCAGCAATCGTGATGGTGGTTGTCCGCCCATCGAAGGTACCAAACAAATCCAATTGCATTCAATCTCTGCGAAGAACAAAACATGCCTGCCAAGCCAACCTAGAAGCAGGACCAGATTCGTCATACTCGGCCTTCGAAATCCACATCTGTTGGAAGGTGCTGAGAGAAGCAAGGATGGAGCCTCCAATCCAAATACTATATTTCCTCTCGGGTGGCGCAACCATCTTAATCTTCATGCTGCTTGGGGCTAGGGCTGTTAATTTGGCTCGTTGTTCTTGAACAACTCGTGTTCGGCTCATTAAGAAGCTCGTGTTCGGCTCGTTCGTTAAGCCTAACGAGCCGAACACGAACA